ACCCACCGAAGGTCTCCCTGACAGGCCAGCACCAGGGCCTCTGTGTCCCGACCCAGGTCCCGTGGGACGGATGGTGTGCATGCTTCTGAGCTGCAGGCCTGGCTCAGCGCACTGGGCGTGGAGCGTCGCCCTGCTCCGTTCAGCTGGCCTCTTAGTCACCTGCTTGACCAATCCCTCATCCGTTCCTGCCTCCCCCTGAGTCTGCCGGAACCCCAAAGACTGCCCTAAAATTCACATTTTATTAACTCATTTTTTATTGGGCAACGGGGTGATCATGAAACCTTATGCGCCTCTGCCTGAGTCTCTCATCAGGGGGATGAAGAGTGGGTGGCTGGGCAGACTACACAGGTTGGGGGGCTGGCTCAGCCCTCGCAGTGCAAAGGAGTTGGCCCTTGTGGATGCCGGTAAGAGCCTGGCAGGCGAAGCATGGGAGGCCTCCTGCGAGGGGAGGGCAGCTGTGAGACCACTGTGAGCAGCCGGGCATTTCCTGGCCTCCGAATCCTGAGCTAGTCTCCTAGGAAAGGGGCCTTGGCCGCTTCCTCTGGCGGCTCTGGGCACAGACACAGGTGCAATAAGGACTGAGGCCAGCCCTAGGAGTATGACATGCTCCCACTCCAGCCCACTGCTGGCTTCCTGCCTTTCTTTGGCAGTTGCAGGAAGGCAGGGCCTGGGTCTCCTTGGCCTCCCCACTCAATCCAGGTTGGGGACCCAGCAGGCCTCAGCCGATGCCTTATTCTCCCAGGAGGCCTCGGGTCCGTGAGCTGCCTCTGTGCCTGTGGCTGATGGAGAAGGTTCTCTGCACTGGGAGGCGTTGGAGTGCAGGGGCCGAGAGGGTGGAGTCTGAGCCTGGGGAATGCAGGGCTGGCTCTGGCCCTGTGGGTCTCAGGACTGGAGATATCTGGGCTGGGGCCCAGCGGGCGGTAGATGGCGCCCCAGATCTTACTTGTAGGAGTAGCCAGAGTAAAGGAAGTTCCCGGAGGGCAGACCTTCCCCCCTGCAGGCCACACAGTCTCAATGGGTGACTGCACATTGCTTTGGGATTATCTGATTAAAGTTCGCCCCTTATTCGATCGTGGAGGAAATTTCAAAGTCTGACAGTCCCTTCATTCGCATCGTAGAAGTGTCTGTTCTTCTTGACTGCTAGGTGAAAACGAGAGAGAGGGAGGGAGAGAGAGAGAGAGAGAGAGAGAGAGAGAGAGAGAGAGAGAGAGAGAGAGAGAGAGAGAGAATAAAGAGATCAGAA